GCGTCACCGAATTTAGGGCCTCTGGTCGGTTCTGGTCTGACATTTTTTTGTTCCCCAAAGCACACGATCTGGGTTTGGAGTTTGGTTACACTGCTGAATTTGCAGCTCACGCGCAGGTTTTTGTTTTAATCATTTTTCAAATTATTTTGCAGCAATTTAATCAACATAATTCGACAGTCTGCATTTTCCATATTTTCGTTGGTGATGGTGCATTAGGTGCTACAAAATGGTACCTTTATCTTGCAGGTATAAATGCACAATAGTTCCAACTATTGTTGGCCGAACCGAAGTCAAACCTGCTTTCGTATCGGAAAAAATAACAGCTTGTACTTGCCTGCATTCTTCAGTGAAGTGACTATACTGTACTCGTGAGCAGTCACAGTGAGTGGAGAGCTCCCCTAAACAGCAAAGGGAAACCTTTGATAAATATAATACATTTGCACAAGTAAGCTCTTATTAATAATTAATATAACAGTATCTTCTCTTCTTCGTGTGCGAAGCTGTACAGTAATGCAAATGAGTCCATCTGAGCCCATGCTGAGCTTTTGTTTCCACTGCTTTTAAAACTCCGAATGTAAACAGATTAAACAGATTTAATTAAACGGAATAATATATGAAATTAAATTTTCGACTACCGGCCCCAGACGTCTTCAGAGCGCGGCCGAGGCGTCAAAGTGGGACCTGGCGCACGCGGCGCGTCCCGTTCTAGCGGGACGGCGGTAAGGTCGGGCGCGCGGCCTTCACACAGCGGCTTCTGCAGGCTCACGATTCCACTCTGGGGTCACGCTCCGCCCCCTGTTGGCAGACGGCAAGGCACAGACATGATGAAAGCCACAGCCCGTTTTAAAAAATAAAACGTGTTCTCTTGGCCGCATAACGCGCGAGGTTTGCAAACCGTACACAACTCGTCCCACAGAGAAATCGCAAATCCCCGCCAGGCGCCTGAGCTGGAGAACTACACCAAATGTGACAACCAGTGAACACACTGGGTGCTGACCGACTGTTGCCAGTCTGGCACTGGTCTCCCACTGGCAGGCATGGCAATGGTACAT